GAGGCGGGGGCGGCCCGAAGGCACAGCCTCGAGCAGCGTGCGTCTGCGCCTCCCCCACCACGCTCCACTAACCCCTGTGCCCCGCTTAGGCGGCCGCAGCCAGCCAACTGGGTCTGCTTTCTTGCTGGCTTTGTTCCCGTGGAATACTGTCTCCCCGCTGCATATCCCTCTGCCATGCAGAGCTGGCTCTGGTGTCCTTGCGGAAGAGTCGCCGGGTTTTAAAAATCCCATTGCTCATTCTCGACTGACAGCTGCCAGCGACCGTGTCGCCCTCAGCCCCCTCTGTCCATTCATCGCTGCGCCCCGTGCGGGCTCCGCGGAGCTCTTGACAAGTGCTGGCAGTGTTTTGGGCAGCTGCTGGGGCTGGAGCCGGGCTAGGGAAGGGGCCGGGGAGCCCCGAGCCCACCTGTTCCCCCACACAGGCACCCCTCTATCTCCAGGGTGTTTTTGTCACAGCCCTGAGTCACTGTAGTCAAATTACGGATTTAGCTGCTGCCTGTGTGCAGCTCAGGAGCTCTGGTTAATCTGATGGCCTCTTAATCTTTGTTTTTGTCCTTTCTGTTGCTGTTTGTCATCCCAGTGAGTTTCCTTTAGGAATAAGTCATTCCGGGGAAGCCAGGCAGGCTGAAGCCAGTGCCGCTTCTTCATTCCTGACAGAGCAGAGAATGTGCAGCGATCCCGATGGCAGCTTGCTGGAGCACCCCGTCCGCTCCCAATCCCACTGTCCCTTCTGGATTTCATGCTTGAAGTGGTGATACAGTCCTTCTCCAGAGGCTGTCGTAGCACACTGGGTACATTTGCCACTTAGTGTGTCGAGTCAGGACATCTTAAGAGCCTTTGCTGACATCCTTCTCATGGCAGGGATCAGAGAGGAATGAATCATGATCTCCTTGCACCCTCGCTTGGTTTGGGTCCTCCATGCCCATCTCCAGCTTGGAGATCCCTTGGCCCCTGTGAAGTCTTCACATTCTTCCCAGCTGTAGGTGTCTGGGATGTGTGTGGGGTCCCTGTGCTGCACAGCCATCACGTCACCTTCAGTACTGTGCTCCCTGCGCTCAGGGCAAGGACAGTGCCTTTCGCCCTCTAGTTCAGATGGAAACAAAGGGACAGAGTTTGGGATTATGCATGAAACTGGTGGCAGAGCGAGGGTCTGGGAGAGCCCACCCTTCCTGGGCTGCGGATCGTCATGGGCGCCGCTTCCTGAGCATCGCTGCTGTTTGTGTCTCCTGCTTCAGTTTCCCCACCCTTCAAAAGGGGGGATGGCGCTGACCCTCCAGCAAAGTGCTGCGAGCTGTGGGGCTGACCTGCCCGGGGGGCTCAGCGGCAGAGGTGGGAGGACGCCGTCAAGGCTAAGCATCTTTAGTCCCTGGCTTGGATTCGGTGTCTCGGAGGCTTGCTGCTCCAGGCTGCCGCTAATCTGTTTTGGGGCCTTAGAAAGCAACAAAGGCTTATCTGAGCCGCTTGCTGAAAATAGAAACGAGCATCGGGAGGACGTCTCGGTGCGAGACCCTGCCGACAGCCAGCTGGTGGAAACCTTCTCTGGGCTTTGCTGGGTGCGTGTAAAAGGCCGCCTTTGTTTCCTCCCAGCCCACACACTGACACCACATTCCTCCTCCTCTTGTTGCCAGATATTCGGGGAGGCTCTCGGTGTTTAATCTCCAGGAGAACCTTGGGGGATTGGAGCCTGAACTGTAAATCCCGGCTCTGCCCGCACAGGGCACTGGGAGCTCCCGGCTGTCTCCGAGCCTCCCCGTCAGCCCTCTGTATTGACTGGGATTTCAGGCAGACGAGTGGGAGTCGGAGGAGCTGAAGGGCTGGACTGGTCCTTGCTGGGGGAGGAAAGGCACTGAGCCAAAGCTCGCTGAATTCTAAGGTTTTGGGTGCCGGCTGGAGACCTGTACTGAATGATGCTGCGCAGCCCGGGGTTGGGTAACGGAAGGGGATCAATAGGCTGCAGCCAGCCACGGGGCATGTTGGCACAGAGCTGCCTCTTGGGCCTCTCCTCCTGTCTGCTCACCGTCCCCTGGAGCCAGATGGGTTTCCGAAGGGCAGAAAGTAAGAGCAGCATTTGGTTGCCCTCCCGCTCCTCCCTCTCTTCCTTCCCCCAGGCAAGCCTTTCTCCAGCGAGGGACCAGGAGCGGGAGCTGGCCCTTGCCTGCCGAGCAGCAAGTGCCAGAGTTAAGCAAGATGGGGAGTGTCTGCCAGGCACCCCAGCAGCTCCAGGCAGGGATCGGGCTTCCCTGCTCCACTAACCTCGGATCGTCCCTTTGCTGCTGCTCCGTGCCTTCTGCCCGTGGGTCACCTCTGTGTCACCTTGTCCTTCTGTCTGGGACCAGGGGAGGCAGTGGGCGGAGGCCGCGCTGCAGCCGGAGGTTTGGCAGCTTCTCAGAGGGGATTAAGGGGAAATTTGTTTCTGGAAGTCTGGCCCTCTGGCTGGGGTGGTTTCTGGGGGATGGAGGAGGAAATGAGTACAGCTGTTTTTCAGTCTCTTCTCCCATCAGGCCAGTTTACCCCAAACTGGAAGACTGCACCAAGCAGGGAGGTGCTGAGCGCTAAACACATCCTCCCTGCGACTGCGGCACAAAGCAGAGCCTTAGCCACTGCCTGGCACAGAGGGTGCTCAGTCCTTGGCATGGTGCAGAGCTGGGCTGGACAGAAAGGCTTTATGTGCCCCGCTGCGACCACGTGCCCGCTGCCAGCACCCACAGGGTGCGGGTCCCTGCTCTCATCCCTGTTTATCTGCAGAGCCTTGCAGCACCCACTGCCAGGCATGCCCAGGGCAGTGCCAGGGCACAGGGGTACCCTGTGCTGAGGAGGGTTGTGTTTGCATGCCGTGGGGAGCAGGGTGAGGAGCCTTCCTCCCTTCTCCTGGGTGAAAGATACTCTCATCTGAAAGGGCTCTGCTCATGGGACTCAGCTGGGACGCGGGGATGGGATGCCAGGCTGAGGGGGCTCCGATACTTGCACCATCTGGGTCTGTGGGCTGGGCTGTGGCTGTTGCTTTATGCAGCCTGGAGGGTGGATTTGGGCTGTGGCTCGGTTGGCTCTTTACCAAGAAGGCTCCCGAGGGGTTGGTTTGGGTGGCTTTTCTTTCTGCTCTGCTTTTAGCTGTCTAGCTGAGGGCCAGCATCTCTCAGCAGTGCTTTTCAAGGTCGTATATCCCAAACTTGAGATGGAAGATGCACCTCGAAGCAGCGAGATGCTGCTGGTTCTGCTCCCTGATGTCTCCTGGCACTTTGGTGCAGGACAGTGCCTGTTTTCCCCTGGGATCGCTGGCCTGCACCGATTTGTTTTGCTCCTCTCTATACCTGACCAGCTCACTGAGAGCAGGCAGTACGCCAGGGTTTTAAGATATGCATGAGCTGAGACCGTTGCCGTGCGTTGAGGAGGCTCCATGAAGTTGTGTGTTGCATCCAGAGAGATCTTTGGGATTTATTACAGGAAGCAGTGATCTTGTTCCCAAACGAGACTCAGTGCTGTGCTGGAGACGGGTGTTTGGAGAGAGGCACAGCTGAGCTTTTAGCTGCAGCTCCAGCAGCTGAGGAGCCGCCGCGTTGTTTCGGAGCTCTGTGTTTCAGAGCCCGGCTGGGTTGGTTACGCTGTCCGGGCTCTGACACCGCGCTCTGATCGCTCCATCAACCTTTTGTCCCTGACTGCGGGGTTATATCAGACCAGGAAAGCAGTCGGGAGCAGTTGGACTCACCGTTTGTCTCCCGTGGGCAGGAAAACAAACACCAGAGAGAAGCAGTTTGGCCCTGGCAGGAGCA